CAGTGTCAGGCTCTGGGCACGAAAGGCTTTCGTTGCTCGTCGGGGAGGGGCTTCGGGGGGGGGGTTTATCTCGGAGCAGGGGATGCAGAGTACGGGTTTGAATTCCCCTCGTGGTTCCCTGGCTGTGCCTCCTGCTGCAGGGAGGGGAGTAAAGGATTTGGTCACTGGGTAAATCGTCCCTTCGAGTTACGGGGGTGTTTGGGAAGAGGGGGGAGGAGGGTCATCGGTGGGGTGGCAAGGGACAAGCCGCTGCGGTCAGGACATCGGCATCAGGCGCTTCCAGCGGGGCAGGGCAGACGCTGAGCCAAGGGTTTCTGTTTGCAGAGATGAGAGATCCTAATCTGGCTTGAGTGGGCAAAGATGCAGTGTCCGCAGATCGCGCTGGTGGTTCCCCCCGGCCTCGAGGCCCTGCTGGAGGCAGTGACCCGGGCTGTGCTAGAAAGGAACCCGGAAAACATGATTGAGTTTTTTTCTCTCTATTTCCAAGAGCTCGTCAGCTTTCAAAAAGGTTTGTTCTGCTGGTGCTTCATCTGAAGAGCTGAGATACTGGATGATGTTGTCCTCCTCCAGTCTAATCTCTGCTTATCATTTCAGAGTATACACATCTGGATGTAACAGAACTGCTTGATAAGTTTGAGTATGTGAATGGTAAGAGAGTTGCTGTTTGTTCTTTTACAATGTTTTGATGTTCCGTTGCAAATGTAACCAAGTTTGCAGAGCTGCAAGGGAGCCTTTCTGTCCGTTTCCCAATACTGACATTGGGTTATAAATGGGTCTGTGTTGCTCACTGAATTTTCTGTTCCCTTACTGATAGGCAGTGAAACCCTACTTAAATTATTCCATCTCTGCAACCCGTGAAGACTCAGAACGTGCTACAGAGCATCTAATTGAGTTGGTGCTGAAATCACTCTTAACTTTATGTAAAGGGAAACAATTGCCCATGTATTTCTCTTGTGTGCTTTTTACCTTGCAAAGAATGGGGATGAGGGATTGGAAAGGAAGATATCACAGTTCTGTGGGGAGTCCAAGCAAAGGCACATGTGTGCTGACACAGGGAATGACCGTCTCCCAAAGAACCTGATATTCAGTACAGCTCCAAAGAAACTCCATACCCATCAGTTGCCGGTTCCCTTGCAGGAAGGAAATCTACCCCTGAATCCGATGGAGCTTTATCCCCTGCTGCCCAAGAGCTAAGTAGCAGTGATTCCCTATGTTCTGTGAAGGATGTGGCAACCAGTGTGCAGACCCTTGAAGAAGACTCTCAGGCCTCAGAGGGTGAACGTACACCAGTGGAAGAGGCTGCTGAAGATGCTCCCCCTGTCGCACCAGCTAGGGCTTCTGTGGAGTCTGTGAAGTCCCAGCCCTCCACAGCTGGAAAACAAGGGCCTTCAGACACCCAGGCTGATGTCTCAACAACTGATGAAAATAAAGCTCCCTCGGTGGTCCCTTTGCAGGAAGAACCAGCACCACCAGCTCTTCCTGAAGATACGTCGGAGCCTGTGCCCATCTGCAGCAAAGGTAAGGTTCCCTCTGCCACTGGAGCTCTATCTGTGTGCTGGGGAGGTGGGACAATTACAGATGCAGAGCTTCCACCTCGGCTGGAGCAGTTTCCGCAGGAAAGAATCATTCCCTTTGTTGACCAAACAGCTTCTCTGGAGGCAGGTAGTTTCTACTCAACTATGGGATGCATCCTATCTGCATGTGGTTATGTGAAAGCAGCACATAGGCTCTGGAAAAGGGAGGCATCTTCAGAAAGCACTTTCTGCTCCTGGGAGGCTGCTTGAGGAGAGAGGAGGGGGGCTTGGTTGTCTTTGGGTGTTAAAGGTACTGCAGTGTGATCTATCAGCCCCTAGAGCAGGTAATGACTTTGCACTTATCTTGCAAATAGACAGTGTCTCTCTTTGCTTATTAAAGCAGCTTTAGTTCTGTGGGATGCTGATTCCCTTGGGAAGTGCTGGGAACTTTCAGCATGTCCCTGGCGTTGGCTGTGAGGGCTGGAATACCTGGTGCCATGTGAAGGTTGTGTGGGAGCAGCGATATGGGTGCGTTGTGTAGCCCATGGGCTGTTGGTATCTGCCCCATGGGATTGGGTTTCCATCACCTGGTTACTGGTAAGTGTCAGTCGCCTCAAATATTCCCATTGTTCAGAAAAAACACCTAAGGTGGCTCCAACTGATGCCTGTATGTTCCTCAAGCTCCACTACAGGTTCTTTCTGTACCTGCCTCTTCTTGTGTTGTCCATCCCCTACTGTGTGGTCAGCTAAGCGTGTTATGAAAGGGGAAGATCAAAGAGGAATTACTTAGGAATCCTGAGCAGTTTCCTCTGGAGCCTCCTGCCCATGGTGCCAGCACAGGGTGTGGGACTGGTTGTGCCCCAGCAGGTAGCGAGCCGGTTTGCAGAGCTGCAGGAGAGCCTTTCTGTCCTGTGGCATTGCCCAGTACTGACATTGGATTATAAATGAGTGTATGTTGGCTCAGGATGGCAGTCAGAATAATGTTTTTTTTCAGAGAGGATTTAATTTTGTCATCCTCTGGTTTATGTTTCTTTCATAATTTCTGATTTAATCCAGTCACGACTTCAGAAGACAGCTCAGTGCTGAGCTCTGGTGATGTGTTACAGAGTCCTGCTGCTGTGCTGGTTTTACATATTGGCCAACGCTTGCTGGTCGAGAGAGAAAGCAGACCTCTTGGTTTGTTTTTTTTTGTTGACTGCTGAAAGTTTTGTTAACCGTGTGATGGAACAGTGTTGGGATCCCACCAGCACTCTCCTGTGATCCTCCCCTGATAACGAATCTGTTACCTTTTTTTACTGTATCTAAAACTTGTTCGTGTCATACCCTTTTCTTCACTTGGATGCCTGCCACTTCAACTAATCAGGATTCTTAAAGAGGCTAAAATGTCACCATCTATGCACCTAAGATAACTTGTTTGAATCCAAAGAGTTCTGCTGTGTTTCACAGAGGAGCCATAGTCTTCTAGCTGGTTTACCAATGTGCTAAATGTAAAAGGTTTAATCTTTTCTTCCATAAGTAGCAGTGTTTGTGGGCAGTGGATAGATAAGCTTGTAGCAATCACTGCAGGGCCAGGAACACAGTTAAGGTTCATAGGTTTTGAAGTGGTATCGGTGTGCTCTGAATTTTCTGTTCCCTTATTGACAAGCAGGCAGCAACACCCTACTTAAATTATTCCATCTCTGCAACCTGTGAAGCCTCGGAACGTGCTGCGGAGCATCTAATTGAATTGGTGCTGAAATCACTCTTTATGTAAAGGGAAACAATTGCCCATGTATTTCTGTTGTGTGCTTTGTTGTGTGCATTGCAGAGAATGGGGATGAGGGACTGGAAATGAAGACATCAGAGCTTCCTGTGGAGTCCAAGCAAAAGGACGTGTGTGCTGACAGAGAGGATGACCATCTCCCAGAAGAACCTAACATTCAATATAGCTCCAAAGAAACTCAATACCCATCAGTTGCCGGTTCCATTGGAGGAAGCAAATCTACCCCTGGATCTGATGGAGCTTTATCTCCTGCAGAACCTGAACCAGCGTGTGTCCCTGCTGAGCCTGCACAGCCTGCTGAGCCAGCACCGCTTGCTGAGGACGTGAGAGGTAGCAGTGATTCCCTATGTTCTGTGAAGGATGTGGCAACCAGTGTGCAGACCCTTGAAGAAGACTCTCAGGCCTCAGAGGGTGAACGTACACCAGTGGAAGAGGCTGCTGAAGATGCTCCCCCTGTCGCACCAGCTAGGGCTTCTGTGGAGTCTGTGAAGTCCCAGCCCTCCACAGCTGGAAAACAAGGGCCTTCAGACACCCAGGCTGATGTCTCAACAACTGATGAAAATAAAGCTCCCTCGGTGGTCCCTTTGCAGGAAGAACCAGCACCACCAGCTCTTCCTGAAGATACGTCGGAGCCTGTGCCCATCTGCAGCAAAGGTAAGGTTCCCTCTGCCACTGGAGCTCTATCTGTGTGCTGGGGAGGTGGGACAATTACAGATGCAGAGCTTCCACCTCGGCTGGAGCAGTTTCCGCAGGAAAGAATCATTCCCTTTGTTGACCAAACAGCTTCTCTGGAGGCAGGTAGTTTCTACTCAACTATGGGATGCATCCTATCTGCATGTGGTTATGTGAAAGCAGCACATAGGCTCTGGAAAAGGGAGGCATCTTCAGAAAGCACTTTCTGCTCCTGGGAGGCTGCTTGAGGAGAGAGGAGGGGGCCTTGGTTGTCTTTGGGTGTTAAAGGTACTGCAGTGTGATCTATCAGCCCCTAGAGCAGGTAATGACTTTGCACTTATCTTGCAAATAGACAGTGTCTCTCTTTGCTTATTAAAGCAGCTTTAGTTCTGTGGGATGCTGATTCCCTTGGGAAGTGCTGGGAACTTTCAGCATGTCCCTGGCGTTGGCTGTGAGGGCTGGAATACCTGGTGCCATGTGAAGGTTGTGTGGGAGCAGCGATATGGGTGCGTTGTGTAGCCCATGGGCTGTTGGTATCTGCCCCATGGGATTGGGTTTCCATCACCTGGTTACTGGTAAGTGTCAGTCGCCTCAAATATTCCCATTGTTCAGAAAAAACACCTAAGGTGGCTCCAACTGATGCCTGTATGTTCCTCAAGCTCCACTACAGGTTCTTTCTGTACCTGCCTCTTCTTGTGTTGTCCATCCCCTACTGTGTGGTCAGCTAAGCGTGTTATGAAAGGGGAAGATCAAAGAGGAATTATTTAGGAATCCTGAGCAGTTTCCTCTGGAGCCTCCTGCCCATGGTGCCAGCACAGGGTGTGGGACTGGTTGTGCCCCAGCAGGTAGCGAGCCAGTTTGCAGAGCTGCAGGAGAGCCTTTCTGTCCTGTGGCATTGCCCAGTACTGACATTGGATTATAAATAGGTCTATGTTGCTCACTGAATTTTCTATCCCCTTTTTGATAGGCAGGCAGCAACAGCAATAGCAAAACCTTGAATTATTCCATCTCTGCAACCTGTGAAGCCTCAGAAACCTGCTGCAGAGCATCTAATTGAGTTGGTGCTGAAATCACTCTTTATTTAAAGGGAAATAATTGCCCGTGTATTTCTTTTGTGTGCTTTTTACATTGCAGAGAATGGGGATGAAGGTTTGCAAGAGAAGGCATCAGAGCTTCCTGAGGAGTCTGAGCAAAAGGACGTGTGCACTGACACAGCGGAAGACCATCTCTTTGAAGAACCTGATATTCAATATAGCTCCCAAGAAACTCAATGCCCATCAGTTCCCGCTTCCGTGGCAGGAAGGAAATCTAGCCTTGGAACTGATGGAGCTTCATTCCCTGCAGGACCTGAACTGGCTTATGTCCCTGCTGAGCCTGCACAGCTTGCTGAGCACGTGCGAGGTAGCAGTGATTCCTTATGTTCTATGAGGGATGTGGCAACCAGTGTGCAGACCATTGATGAAGACTCTCAGGCCTCAGAGGGTGAACGTACACCAGTGGAAGAGGCTGCTGAAGATGCTCCCGCTGCCTCAGCAGCTAGGGCTTCTGTGGAGTCTGTTAAGTCCCAACCCCCCACAGCTGAAAAGCTAGGGCCCTCAGACAGCCAGGCTGATGTCTCAACAACTGACGTAAATAAAGCTCCCTCGGTGGTTCCTTTGTTGGGAGAACCAGCACCACCAGATCTTTTACCACCACCACCTGTTCCTACAGATCTTTTGGAGTCTGTGCCCTCCACCAGTGAAGCTGAGCCTCCCTTGACCGCTGGGGCTGTATCACTGTTTTGGGATGATGAGGCAATTATGGATGCAGAGGTTCCTTCTTATGTGGAGCAGTTTCCACAGAAAATAATAATTCCCATTATAGACCAAACAGCTTATCAGTTAAAAATTGAGCAGCCATTAAACACAGGCCAGGGCTCAAGTGCTAGAACTGAAGGTCCATCTGCTGGTGATTTAGTCTGCCAACCTGAGAGAACAGACTTTACAGAACAAGTGGAAAAAGCTGAGCAAGTTTATGTCATGTCAGGTAAGAAAGTTTGGGTCTTTGTGTCATCTTCCTGTTTCCAGCTTCCAGCTCTACAGCTTCATCAGCGGTCATTCAATGGAAAAGCACCTGTGTCAGTGCAATGCAGGATAGAGATGACTTCTATGACATTACTGTACCAATACAGTCTGCTTGGTCCCAGTGCACGTGTGTTAGATCTTCCTGCCATCTTTTCCAAGAGATGTGGCTGCTTTGGGCAGGACAATGTGCTCCTGCAGGCAAATATGCAGATAAGAATGATGGGAAGGTACCTGCTGATGCTTGCTCATCATTATTGTCTTGCTCAAAACCATCCCTGCTTTCTGAAACAGGTGTTAAGAGATCTAAGATGTAATACATGTGCCCTGTGGCTAAAGTGAGGCAACCAGTTGGAGCCCTGGTTTTGACTCTCCTCCCCTGAAAGATCTCATATACCAGCACTGACCTAGGAGATTTTCCATTAAAAAAAATAAATAAAAAAGGTGGAAAAGGTGGTGGTTGCCTGTGCTGTCTTGAGCTTGGTGAGTTTCTGCAGCTGGGCTGAGTGGGCTGAGCACTGGGCATCATTTTAACAAACAGCAAGACAGCTGGTGCTCGTCTTTCTTGGTGAGGTCTTTACCACTATCTGTTCCCTGTGGTGACATGTGCCCAGCTCTTCCCTTGCCCAGCTGGAGAAACCTTCCAGGGTAGAGCTCCCTTTCCCTGAGTCTCCATGGTACTGCAGAATCTAGGCCCTGTCCCAGGCCCCAGAAATAGTACAGGTGTGAGGTTGCAGCAGAGCATTTTGTAGAGGAGAGCTGAGGCATGGCAGATTTGTAAACTAATAATTGGCTCTCTAAAAACTCCAATTGGAGTTTGGTACTTCGGAAACTGAGGTTTGTCAAATGCTTACCCAGAAGAGCCTCTGACCAAAACTAGTTATGTTTTCTAAGCTGCAGGTCCTTGTCAGCCACATACCAAGCTGTGTTTGCTATCCTAGCTCTCCTCTCTAACATGCTTGCTTTTGCCAAGTGTAGGTGTGCTTCTTTTAGCCATAAGGATTTACAATATGACTGGAATTCACTGCTTCTGATACCAGCACTCTTATTTTTATCTTTATAGCCATGGCATCAAGTGCAGCAGGACAACCACCACCACATTCTAATGTGTGGACCCTCTATTGCCTAACTGACTTGAGACAAGGTCAAAAACCACCACCATCCCTTCCTTCTGCTGGAGCTGGTGTTGCTTATTTCCAGGCAACCCTCTGCCCTTCCAGGGGGGGAGATCAACATTGTGCTCCAATTTATGTGGTGCAAGAAGACGGCAAGAAGGGAGATGCACCACCTTTCATTTTAGTGGGCTCTAATGTTCAGAACACACAGGACTGGAAACCTGTTCCTAGCCATGCTGTCTTTGTACAGCAAGATGCAGGTGCTAGGAAGAGATTAACTACAGTCCCAATCCCAGTCGCCAGACCCGCTGATGAGGAAACAGACAGTTCTAAATCTGCAGAGGAAACTGGGGCCAAGCCCTGCACACCCACTGTTGTCTCAGTTGCCATCCCTCTGGCTGATGTGATGGCTGCAAAGAGAGGCTCACCTGCTGGTGAGAAGCACACAGGTATAAATGCTCTTGCAGAAAGTTCTGGTGCTGCAGGGTAGATTGCCATTTCATCAGCCCCTTCCCACAGCAGGGTCAGGAAGAAGTAAGCTAGCTTGCTTCTTGCATGGGTGTTGCAGAGGGAGATGCTAGCATTTGGAGTTTACTACTAAAAGCTTAATTTAAACCTTTTAAAAATGAAGTTTAAATCCAGTGGTTAAAATACGTCGTTACATGTTGCAATTAGTAGTACAAGTCTTGGTCTGTTTTTAGTCTAAAGTAATTAAGTTTTTATATCTCACATTTATAGATCTTTTTATTGCCTGCAGCCTGAACTTCTAGCATTTGTGTAATATTCAGAATGTGGCAAAATATTCTCACCTTAGAGTTGCATTGAGGTAGCAAACAAAGTAGTTCTTACCACACACTATATTGAGTTAATGTTACGTTTTTTTAAACAGGTTAAGAAGAGAGGCTGTGGACTTAGGAAGAATTTGGGAGGAAAGGAGTTTACATTGTAATAAATCAAGTAACTAAATACAAACGCTCCAAAAAGCCTGCAGTTGGAACTGCATTTTATACTTGCCTAGCACCACATCCTGACTGTTAACTCTGCTGCTGCTATTTCACTGCAGGGTGGCCCAACTTCTTCACCATACTAACATGGTACGTGCATGAGCCCCAACAATACTGACATGGCAGAGAGAGGCAAAGTTAGTTCAGTATAACCACGTGTAGTCCATACCACTGGGGTTACACCCTATGAAGGAACTGTACACAAAAGAACAGTCATACTTTCAACTAGAGCAAGGAGTTGTTCTCACACACAGTCGGTTCTTTCAAACTACACGTGTAGCAAGGAGAACACTAGAGGTTATGCTTTGAGGAGGGGGTTAAGAAAAAGTACCTTTCTTTTGCTTTACAGCTTTCACAGTTGTTGTTGTGGTAACTTACTTAAATATGCCTGAGTCTTGAAAGTATCAATGGGTCTATAAAAAAAATGTGTCTGTTCTTACTGAACAGAAGTTGCTTAAAACAAACAAAGCAGAGCTGATGTTTTGTAGATGTTTTCCCCTCCCAAACCTGGATGGGCAAGCAGGAAATAAATGCTTTGTTTTTCCTAGGCCTGAGTGCTTCGTGTCATGTGACCTGCTAAAGCACCAATCCCACAGCTAGACTGTTTCTATGCATCTCAGAATCCCACTGGAAGTCTGTTCTAATTCCTGTGCAACTTCAAGAAATGCTGGCCAGAGTAGAAGCATGAGTGTAGAGATAAGGCTTCCACGAGCCACTGCAGAGAGTCAGTTTCCACATCTACACATCACGCTGAGAACTGGGCCCTCCTGTGAAAGGCTGCCAAAGAAAAGGCTTTCCCTTATCTATGCAAATGTCACTACCTGGGTAGTTCCAGTAGTGCACAGAATAAAAATAGAAAGCATCTCATTGGCTTATTCTCAGTTTCAGTAGTCCACCCTCAAAGCTAGAGCTGCAGCCTCACTGCATGTTAAAGAAGGAAGCCCTCAGTTCCCCAGCCACCCCAGCCATCCCCGCCCCCCCCAGCAAGCAGATTGTTCCTGCTTAGGGAAAAGAGGCCCCTGAAGCAGATGCCAGCACACCACAACTTCATAGCAGCAACTTTTGGGGTAGGTGTGCTCAGCGCTGCCAAACACCACTCACTTTCAACTAGATGCAAGAAGTTTTGAAGCCTTTATTTAGTAGCAATTAAATTATTTGATTAACACTAACCTCCAGACAGCAGTTAAAATATTGTACAAAGAGCAGCTTGCCCTCTAGAAGCTCTGTACACAGTTCAATATAAACTTACTCCCTAAGATTGAATGCACCCCAGTGAAAAGGGGTAAAGCAGCTGTGCACAGGAGGCCTCACTGAGGTGCTGTACTCCATTTGAAATGCACAAGACTTCCTCCTAGGGAGTTTGCACAGTACAGACACAGGTCCTGTCCCCCCCTGCCACATTCCACTGGGTCCTGGACTGATGAGGCTCTTGCCTTTTTGCAGTGGTGCTGGGCACCAGAACTTCTAGTGCATGAAAACAGATTCTTTTAAAACCTGTTACTAGTGTGCAGTTCAAATAAAATCCGTAGCTATTTAAATGGCTCTTAATTCCTTAAACCAAAAGGTTGGTAGCAAAACAGGAGAGCAAAATTCAAAACACACTGCACAAAACATGGAATAAATACCTCTGAGTTACCAGCTTAAATTGCATTAATGCTCCAGAGACAGGAACACTTCTGGACTCTCTGACCAGAGCTTGGGATTTATGGGAGTTAATTTAGTAAAAGGAAAGTCACTTTATGAAAAATTACATCTTTACAAAAGTGACACACCCTTCTTCATTTAAGAACAGAATATTGCAATTACTGTGTGTGCTTTTAAACATTCCCATGTCACAATAAATAGAACCAGTTTTACTTGTGCCAATGTTATCTATGAAAGAAAGTATTCACAGAACAGCTGAAGGTGTTCTAGTCCTCATACACCACAACCTAATATAGGTGTATCCAGCAAACAGGGCAGCCTGAAACCGTGGCGACTGACTTTGTCCACCATCAGCCAGAAACACTATTCCCCTACCTATGGGACTGCAGATCATGTACCACCAGATTTACTTTGAAGATGCTTAATATTCCATTTGATAACATGTCAGATTTTTCAGAAGATAAGTAAACCAAGGGAAAACATTAAAACAGATTAAGACTTATTTGTATCAGTCACAGGCTCCTTATTGCATTTTAATAAATATCAGGCAAGTTAAAGTAGTTTCTGTCCCAGTAGTTGCCAGAATAAAGCCAGTCCTGTGTACCAGTATAGGGATTGGGCCCTTGGTGGAACCATCTGCAAGGAAACATACAGCATGTTAGTGAAGCTATTAACATACCTTTATGGAAGTTCAGAACTGCTTTGCAGCATCTCCTGCAGAGTACTGCTCCATGTTATTATTGTGTTTGCAGGAACCCCGTTGCTTTTTAAATTCATAACTGAATTTAAAGTCTTCTTCAGTGGCTAGATCTCCCCATTTGCCACACCACCTCAATGTCTTGTGAGTGAAATCCCTGACACTGGTATTTTTGTCACTTGAAACAGTCCAGCCTATCACATGAAACAGGTACAGTTTAACTTCAAAGCAGTTGTGAACAATAATTTTGGCATGCATAAGAAGTAACAGTTTTTGCAAAACAAACACAGCAAGCACTGCAGTCCTGAAAATAGAAAAGCATTATTCTCCCAGGATCTGGATTTTCCCCTTGTTTTTTTAAAGCCTTGCTTTGCAGTGCATTTCCCTCAGAACAGGTGTGCCAGCTGCCCTTGCTGTAGAAGAAATACCACCTACAAGCTGCACAAGTCCTGTCTTATGGCAACTTAACTGTGTTGCATCACACTGACAGGCTAATCTGAATGGCCAGAAAGCTGAACTTACTTGAAAGCTTTTGTCAAACTGGTTGTTACTAGGAACACTGAAGTTTAGCACCTTCTTCCTTCCTTCTCTCCTACCTAGCCTGGAAGCACTATGTATACATAGACATGCATCTGTACTAAAATCTTCTGGTGGAGGGGACCAACTTATTTGTAAACTAAGTTGCACTAACAAGGCCCTACTACTGGCAAGTATCCCCCGGTGGTGAGTACAACCCTGCCAAATCACCATGGCACAGTTTGTCCTCATTCCTCCTCTCCCACACATGTTTCTGGCAACCCTGCAGCCTGTTCCTGAACTCTGTTTCCTGCTTTGGTTCAGTTCCTCAGTTGTCTGCCTCAGCAGCACACACTGCACAGTACCAGACCTCTTGCATTTTAACTACTTGTGTTTTGCCAAGCCATGTTTATAGCAGAACTCAGCTTGTAGAAGCTGTTTCTGTGGTTAATATCCTCCACAGCTTCCTTTCACTTCTCCACTGACCCCTAAAGCCAGTTCTTGCTTTATATGCCTCACTGCAGCAAACACACTTGCTTAAGAAAATCAGGCATGTGCAAGGCAGCCCATTTTAAGTCAGCTCTTCCCTTCTAGGGCACCATAAGTTTTAAGAACAGAAATTCAAGCACATCTGGACCAAATATGACTTGATCTCTATAAAACAAAAGCATAAAGGCCACCAGTATTGCAATGTCATGTTACAAAGCAGGGCAGCTAAGAGGCAAGTCTTCCTTGGCTCAAATTATTTGAGGTGCTAATTGGAATAAATGCCTTGTACCATCTTGAGAGTGGTGAACTGAACAGTTGAGCACTTCAGTGGTTCTCCTGCTGTCCTGGTTGAGTGAACTGGAGCCAACAGAAGACAGAAGATGTTCACCCCTGGTCCTGTATGTACATGGTTCATTACTGCATCACCTCCACACAGGATGTGTCAGCTATTCTGAAGTAACTGGTGCTTGCATGTGACATGGCATCTAGTTCACCTCCTAGTTCACAGGTAATAGCAGCTCATTCCAGAGCACAAAGACTTTGCTGAGAGGCAGGCAAAGAAGCACAGTCACCTTACCTCTCCTATTAAGGAATTCTACCATCCAATACCTGACTACTGTGTTTTCAACTGTTGTACAGGTCAGGACAAGCTGGGGAGGGACTTTTTACAAAGGCATGTAGCAATAGGACAAGGGGGAATGGCTTTAAACTGGAAAAGGGTAAATTTAGGTAAGACATTAGGGGAAAATTCTCTAGTGTGAGGGTGGTGAGACACTGGCACAGGTTGCCCAGGGAAGTTGTGGCTGCCTTACCCCTGGAAGCGTTCAAGGCCAGTTTGGATGGGGCCTTGAGCTACCTGGTCTAGGGGAAGGTGTCCCTGCCCATGCAGGGGGGCTGAGATGATCTTTAAGGTCCCTTCCAATGCAAACCATTCCATGATGACGATCAATAGGAAGGGGAGAACTGATGGGACGAAATACGTTTGAGAGACACAGGGGAATCAAAGCAATCAGATAATCTAGCCAGGTAAGTGATGGGGGACAGAGGGGATTGATTTTCATCAAAAGCAACAGACCACTTCTGTGTTTCAGAACTGAACTACTCTTACTCAAGACTACTGGTCAGTCTCTAAAACATCAAGTGTTGAACATGAATCACTTCTAAAGTGGATTAAAAATAATTAAAAAAAGATAAATCACTAGGCACATTGGAGAATTGTCTTATGAGGGAAGAACTCGGCCAAGAAAGAAGCCTGCTTTTCTGTGCAAGGAAGTTGCCACAGAAGGAAGGTTTACATCAGTTTATGAAGACCTACAGCTGACCTGGGAACAGGCAGTTTCCCTTCACAGTACGCTTTTTTCCCCTCCTCCTAAAGCACAATGCTTCATCCACAGTTTATGTTCCTCCTCAGGAGGCAGTCACACTTGGCATTCCTACTAAAGAGATCAGACACTAGGAATTTTCTGCCAAAGCTTCAGAAATATCCTGGAAAACACAGTTCTTAAAGGATATCCCAGGCAAGTACTGAGCATGTCTACAGTACCTGCACAACAGCAAGTGAAGAACCTTGTGAATGGTGTCTGCACTAATTACACACCCCAAAACCCATTGCTCTGAGTTGTCCCCTGGGAATTCCCCAATTTCCAATGCCAACCTCAGGTGCTTTGAGCTACAACTTAAGCTGTTTCAGGAACCTAGAAGAACACTGTAACTATTCCTTGCTTTGAATACACTTGGTGATAATTAGAGCAACTCAATTCAGGAAAGGAAGAGGGAGGTGTAAGGTTGTCCAGCACTTAACATGTTTAATTGGAAGCATGACAAAGATGTTATTTTCCACCAGTTTCAGGGCAAACAAACCCAAACACTTCAAGAGAGCAGGCACAGGAAAAAGACCAAGGCAGACATGTCCAAACCTGGGACTCTGGGATGATGAGTGACTTCATTTGAAAAAAAGAAGAGAGTGATTTATAGTTACAAACAGACATTTTAAAGATATTTAATCCACAGTGTCTGAGTGTATTAACAGCTAGTTTATAGGAAAGAGATGAAGCTTGCTTACTTCTAGAGAGTTTAGCTCTACCATTTCTTTTCTGTGAAACAACCAAATTATTAGTATACTTTAAAACAGACCCTCTCTGGTTCAACTAGATTCATTTGGTCATGTTTTCATAGTTTCTACTTCTGCTTCTATGTAAGAGCTCCCAACTGAACCCTCTCAGTAAAAAAAACAAATAACAAAAGCCATCCTGAGACATCCCTCACAAGTTAATTTTTCCCTTAGCTCTTTTGTAGTTAGTAACCTCTCAGAAATAACTGAATGCAGTGGCAATACAGGATTGCCAGCACACAGCAACTAGTCTGAGAAGTCATGGGCCAGAAGTTCACCAGAGGAAACATTTCCTCCTCTTTTTGGCCAAGCATGCAAATTTGAGGCAATTATAAATTAATCAGCAACAACAGTCCTTACAAGCAGCTATCAGTGGCAACATTTTTTTTCACGTCAGAACTAAGAGGTGCTCATAAAAGACAACAGAGTTCATGTTTGAATATGGATGTGCAAGCAGAGAGGGGGAAGAAACTGAGACCAAGCTTCTCTCTGGAATCACTACAGCCTGCAATGCTGACCAAGCCTGCAAATACAACAGTGGAACTGCCAAACCTGATGCTGTCAGGTCTTCATGCTGACACGAGGCTGCACATCAGCAGTGCAGACTGGTAAGTTAACCTCAGTGTTCAAAACCTTTCTGTAACCACTCACACACACAGGGGCAAGCACACTAACCTTGTCTTCCAGTCTTCCTCTGACTTAGAACGATTTTTGCGGGCAGTCCTTTGTTTTTCTTCTAGCCTCTTCTTTTCTTCACTGGCTAGATCTTAAAAGAATAAAAATACACAAAGATACAGAAGAAGGTTGAAGTGTCATACAAGTCTGATTGAGTAAATAAGGGAAGTCATAAAAATTGTTCCTTTAAAAAGCCTTCTACATAACACAGAAGACCTTCTGGTTTAGTCTAACAGCAAAGCCAGGCCAGCTGTGGCACAAGATCAGCCAATGGAATTCCAGTCTTTAAAACTGCTAAATATATGTTTATCCATGGCCTGAGGACCCTGAAAATATGTTTATGTGACAGCAGATGTGAGCTAGGGGAGGTGGTGTAACCAGAATTTATTTCAGAAGGGAAACTATGAAGATATGCTGGATTTATTTCAGAAGTGTGGCCACTTGCTACTTTTTAAACTTTTAAAGTTGTTACTAGTTCATAGTTTCTGATAAGCAGAGGCTTGGAACACTCACTTCCAAACCAAAAAGAATTGTCTCTCTGCAGCATATCTCATTTTTATTTTTTTTCTGAGGTAGCTTGGCTTATGGTCCTAAACAAACAGAACAGTTGCTTCTATTAGGCAAAAAAAGATGGCCAGAAGTTCTGAGGATTAAGTCAGACTAAGAAGCAGTTTAGGTGAAGGGTGATCTATTTCATATCTGAATCCTCAAAAAGCATTTCATAAATATCAGAGAAAGAAGTAGTTGAGAGCTGAGTAGCTGAGAGTATCAGCCACTCCCAGTTACCCTGCCAGCTACTAACACACTGCCTATCACCAGTTTATCTGCTATACAAACTTCATGCCATTGGTGCAGTTATGGATTATGGTCTGTTGCTAACAGCACAGTTATTTGCACTTCAAGTATAGACAGAAAAATTACTGGGGATGTTCAGAACCAATTATGTCCATCCTGCTGAGCACAAAAGAAGTGTACAGGCAGGAGAGACTGGTTGTGGGAATTCACTGATCTGCTTTTTTAAAAAAGCCTCAAAGAAGTGGTTATCAGCTTCTGAGGAAAAAAAAAAAAAAAGCACAGGTACAACTGACCTGTATTATTCCCGTGTCTTTTTCATACCTAGATCTCAGACTATTTATCAGAAGGAGTCACAGTCACTCTGCTATTACACAGGTAAAACTGGATCAGATGTTTCATGACTTACCCCAATCACTTAGCAACCTAGAGAAAGCAAGAGCCCCCCCATGCTTTTAAGTTTACAAAAGTGGCCATCCTGCTTTAATATGCAAAATGTCAAAGAAAAAGAGCAAAAGAGGGCTAGGGGAGGGCTGCTCCACACCATATCCAAGTATTTAACATCAAGTCACATGCCAAAAGACTACAAGACACTTCATTCTACAGCAGTAACAATTTCTATGAGGTTTCTAAAAAAGCACACTACTTCTACTCATGGAGTATCTCAATGTATTTCTAAATTCACTATTATGAGTCACAGAAACGCTCAACTCCCAATGAAAAATAATTTTGCATCAGATGTATTTTTTGGCATTGCAGTTTCACTTAAATAGTTTAGACTGCATTTCTCAGAACTAGCACATCAAAATACTCCTTTTGCATCAGGCTGAGGAAAACAGAAAACAGGAGCAGTTCACAAATATTTCCTTTTGATGCTCAGAGACCGTCTCCTTACAGTAGTTTCCAAGTATAGGCCTTGACTACAGAGCACACAACAGAGGTTCTAAAGCTAAATAAAAAGCATCACATTATGAAGTTTAAGATCCATGCTTATGTGGAAAAACAAACAAGTAGGTGGTGTAGTCCTGTTTGACATTTCATCAATGACCTGGATGAAGGGACAATGTATCCTCATCAAGTTTGCTGATGATAGGAAACTGGGAGGACTGGCTATTTCATCTGAAGGCTGTGCAGCCATTCAGAGAGATCGCTGGGCAAAGATGAATGTAATGAGGTTCAACAAGAACAAGAACCTGGGAAGGAATAACAACATGCACCAGTAGCGGTTAGGAGCTGACCTGCTAGAAAGCATCTCCATGGAGTAGGACCTTGGAGTCCTGGTAGACAACAAGTTATCCATGGGACAACAATGTGCTCTTGTGGCCAAGAAGGCCAGTGGCATCCTAGGGTGCATTAAGAACAGTGTGTCCAACAGGTCAAGGGAGGTTCTCCTCCCTCTCTTCTCTGCCCTAGTGAGACCCCACCTGGAGTACTGTGTCCAGTTCTGGGCTCCCCAGCTCAAGGAATATGCTGGAAAGAGTCCAACAGTGGGTTACAAGGATGATTAAGGGACTGGAACACCTGTCTTATGAGGAAAGGTTGAGAGACCTGGGGCTGTTTAGCCTAGAGAAGACCAAGAGGGGATCTTAATAATGTTTACAAATATCTGAAGGGTGTGTGTCAAGAAGGAGGGGCCAATCTCTTTTCAATCATACCTGGATGCAAACTGGAGCACAGGAAGTTCCACCTCAACATGAGGAAGAAGTGGAGTCTCCTTCTCTGAAGACTTTCAAGATCTGTCTGGATATGCTTCTGAGTGACTTGCCCTAGATTCTGTGGTGGTCCTGCTCTGGCAGGGGGGTTGGACTCAATGATCTCCAGAAGTCCCTTCCAACCTCTAGCATTATGTAATTCTATGTAGTGGGTTCCTAGTCAGCAATTAAGCTGTTCTTCACTGCCATCCACCCCAAGGACTTAGGGCAGACAATCAAAGAGCAAAAGCAAAAAAGCTCATGGCTTGAAATAAAGACAGTTTAATAAGCAAAGAGAAAGGAAAAAAAGGAGGAAAAAGTGATGCAAAGGCAATAACTTACTACTTTCTACCAGCAAAACTGCATCTGGCCAGTCTTCAATCAACAGCTACTTCCCCTGACACACATAGTTGTGTGTGATGTTACATGGTATGGCATATCTCTGGTCAGTTTGGGTCAGCTGTCCCAGCTGTGTCCCCTTCCAGCCTCTTGCCAACCCCAGGACCAAAGAAGGCTGTAATGCTGTGCAAAGTTGTTCAGCAGTAGCTGAAACACTGATTTGTTACCAACACTGCTTTGGTCACCAATCTAAAACAGCACCACAGATGGGCTGCTATGAAGAAAATTAACTCCATCCTAACCAGTCCCAGCACAGGTGAGTGACACACGAGGCTGCACATCAGCAGTGCAGACTGGTAAGTTAACCTCAGTGTTCAAAACCTTTCTGTAACCACTCACACACACAGGGGCAAGCACACTAACCTTGTCTTCCAGTCTTCCTCTGACTTAGAACGATTTTTGCGGGCAGTCCTTTGTTTTTCTTCTAGCCTCTTCTTTTCTTCACTGGCTAGATCTTAAAAGAATAAAAATACACAAAGATACAGAAGAAGGTTGAAGTGTCATACAAGTCTGATTGAGTAAATAAGGGAAGTCATAAAAATTGTTCCTTTAAAAAGCCTTCTACATAACACAGAAGACCTTCTGGTTTAGTCTAACAGCAAAGCCAGGCCAGCTGTGGCACAAGATCAGCCAATGGAATTCCAGTCTTTAAAACTGCTAAATATATGTTTATCCATGGCCTGAGGACCCTGAAAATATGTTTATGTGACAGCAGATGTGAGCTAGGGGAGGTGGTGTAACCAGAATTTATTTCAGAAGGGAAACTATGAAGATATGCTGGATTTATTTCAGAAGTGTGGCCACTTGCTACTTTTTAAACTTTTAAAGTTGTTACTAGTTCATAGTTTCTGATAAGCAGAGGCTTGGAACACTCACTTCCAAACCAAAAAGAATTGTCTCTCTGCAGCATATCTCATTTTTATTTTTTTTCTGAGGTAGCTTGGCTTATGGTCCTAAACAAACAGAACAGTTGCTTCTATTAGGCAAAAAAAGATGGCCAGAAGTTCTGAGGATTAAGTCAGACTAAGAAGCAGTTTAGGTGAAGGGTGATCTATTTCATATCTGAATCCTCAAAAAGCATTTCATAAATATCAGAGAAAGAAGTAGTTGAGAGCTGAGTAGCTGAGAGTATCAGCCACTCCCAGTTACCCTGCCAGCTACTAACACACTGCCTATCACCAGTTTATCTGCTATACAAACTTCATGCCATTGGTGCAGTTATGGATTATGGTCTGTTGCTAACAGCACAGTTATTTGCACTTCAAGTATAGACAGAAAAATTACTGGGGATGTTCAGAACCAATTATGTCCATCCTGCTGAGCACAAAAGAAGTGTACAGGCAGGAGAGACTGGTTGTGGGAATTCACTGATCTGCTTTTTTAAAAAAGCCTCAAAGAAGTGGTTATCAGCTTCTGAGGAAAAAAAAAAAAAAAGCACAGGTACAACTGACCTGTATTATTCCCGTGTCTTTTTCATACCTAGATCTCAGACTATTTATCAGAAGGAGTCACAGTCACTCTGCTATTACACAGGTAAAACTGGATCAGATGTTTCATGACTTACCCCAATCACTTAGCAACCTAGAGAAAGCAAGAGCCCCCCCATGCTTTTAAGTTTACAAAAGTGGCCATCCTGCTTTAATATGCAAAATGTCAAAGAAAAAGAGCAAAAGAGGGCTAGGGGAGGGCTGCTCCACACCATATCCAAGTATTTAACATCAAGTCACATGCCAAAAGACTACAAGACACTTCATTCTACAGCAGTAACAATTTCTATGAGGTTTCTAAAAAAGCACACTACTTCTACTCATGGAGTATCTCAATGTATTTCTAAATTCACTATTATGAGTCACAGAAACGCTCAACTCCCAATGAAAAATAATTTTGCATCAGATGTATTTTTTGGCATTGCAGTTTCACTTAAATAGTTTAGACTGCATTTCTCAGAACTAGCACATCAAAATACTCCTTTTGCATCAGGCTGAGGAAAACAGAAAACAGGAGCAGTTCACAAATATTTCCTTTTGATGCTCAGAGACCGTCTCCTTACAGTAGTTTCCAAGTATAGGCCTTGACTACAGAGCACACAACAGAGGTTCTAAAGCTAAATAAAAAGCATCACATTATGAAGTTTAAGATCCATGCTTATGTGGAAAAACAAACAAGTAGGTGGTGTAGTCCTGTTTGACATTTCATCAATGACCTGGATGAAGGGACAATGTATCCTCATCAAGTTTGCTGATGATAGGAAACTGGGAGGACTGGCTATTTCATCTGAAGGCTGTGCAGCCATTCAGAGAGATCGCTGGGCAAAGATGAATGTAATGAGGTTCAACAAGAACAAGAACCTGGGAAGGAATAACAACATGCACCAGTAGCGGTTAGGAGCTGACCTGCTAGAAAGCATCTCCATGGAGTAGGACCTTGGAGTCCTGGTAGACAACAAGTTATCCATGGGACAACAATGTGCTCTTGTGGCCAAGAAGGCCAGTGGCATCCTAGGGTGCATTAAGAACAGTGTGTCCAACAGGTCAAGGGAGGTTCTCCTCCCTCTCTTCTCTGCCCTAGTGAGACCCCACCTGGAGTACTGTGTCCAGTTCTGGGCTCCCCAGCTCAAGGAATATGCTGGAAAGAGTCCAACAGTGGGTTACAAGGATGATTAAGGGACTGGAACACCTGTCTTATGAGGAAAGGTTGAGAGACCTGGGGCTGTTTAGCCTAGAGAAGACCAAGAGGGGATCTTAATAATGTTTACAAATATCTGAAGGGTGTGTGTCAAGAAGGAGGGGCCAATCTCTTTTCAATCATACCTGGATGCAAACTGGAGCACAGGAAGTTCCACCTCAACATGAGGAAGAAGTGGAGTCTCCTTCTCTGAAGACTTTCAAGATCTGTCTGGATATGCTTCTGAGTGACTTGCCCTAGATTCTGTGGTGGTCCTGCTCTGGCAGGGGGGTTGGACTCAATGATCTCCAGAAGTCCCTTCCAACCTCTAGCATTATGTAATTCTATGTAGTGGGTTCCTAGTCAGCAATTAAGCTGTTCTTCACTGCCATCCACCCCAAGGACTTAGGGCAGACAATCAAAGAGCAAAAGCAAAAAAGCTCATGGCTTGAAATAAAGACAGTTTAATAAGCAAAGAGAAAGGAAAAAAAGGAGGAAAAAGTGATGCAAAGGCAATAACTTACTACTTTCTACCAGCAAAACTGCATCTGGCCAGTCTTCAATCAACAGCTACTTCCCCTGACACACATAGTTGTGTGTGATGTTACATGGTATGGCATATCTCTGGTCAGTTTGGGTCAGCTGTCCCAGCTGTGTCCCCTTCCAGCCTCTTGCCAACCCCAGGACCAAAGAAGGCTGTAATGCTGTGCAAAGTTGTTCAGCAGTAGCTGAAACACTGATTTGTTACCAACACTGCTTTGGTCACCAATCTAAAACAGCACCACAGATGGGCTGCTATGAAGAAAATTAACTCCATCCTAACCAGTCCCAGCACAGGTGAGTGACACACCTTTCCCTAGGATCACACCACAACTTGTGTTAAAAAAAGAGTTACATTCCTCCATGGTGCAAGACAGTAACTTGAGGAGTAGCTGCTTTCTCTCTTAATCTAACAACTTGAATTTTTCCAGTCCACAGTTCTAAGAAAAAAATAAAAACACCTTTGCCAATAACTGAAGTTACCTATTTCTCCATTTTCCATGGCTCTGATATCTGGTCGTAGCCTGCAGTCAGTTTTGGGAATTACACTCTCCATTTCTTTGTCCAACTCATTCAAAGCCATAGCAAAGCTAGTGAAATTATACATCTGAAATTCAAAGACAAAGATAAAAGGTGACTTTGTGATGTCTCTAGCTGCTGTCTTAATACACAAGAAAGCTGCTGTCTAAAAATAAACATCCTCAAGGCAGGAATACTCAAGATACCAGCGAAACTGCACTGTCAGGCAGAGTGTAGGTGATCCTTGGCATTTCTGTTTAAGCAGGCCAGCATCCAATTACTCAGTGCACTATTCCTCTTACCTTCTTTTTCTAGTCCTTACTGATATTTTCCGTATCTCTGTAGAGAGATTTCCCCCTTGATTAACCCACTGAGGTAATCTTTTCTTGTTTCAATTCGTTGCCTTTCCGGTTCCACACATACACTTACATTCCACCCACGGGCTCTCCAACTCCACAGCCCTTCACACACCAACTCATGCCATGCAGGCTTTGCAAGCACCTCCTAGGAAGTGTCTGTCCTCCAAGCAAGCTCTTCAAAAGAGATTTCTCAGGAGGTAGGTGGTGCCTCAGTGGGGGAACAGGCTGGAGAGAAGAGGTGGGGAGAGCTCCCACAGTGCTAGCTACATGAAGCATTTTCCAGAGAAATTCCACTAACTGTAGAGTCATGCCTGTAGCAGTTCTTTCTCCAACCCCACATTATAGAGTTACAATTGTGGTGGGGAAGTCTGTCGCAATAAATAGGCTAATCCAGTCTTGGTAATTAAAAATATAACAAATGGATTTGCTTTTTGTTGGACATAGAGAAAAACAGGATAGCACACACTTTCAATAAGCAGAAGCATAGCTGACCTGTGCTGAATTTGGAGGTCTTGGTGTTATCTTCCATAGCAAAATACTTCCAGGAATAACATACACACTCTCAGAATCTGGCAACGGCATCTCATCCGATTCCTCAGGATTGCCCACCTAAAGGCAGCACACAAAGAAAAGCAGAGTTCTTTGGCATGACAAATCTTTTGCACCCATTCACTCCAACACTGGAACTTCAATAAAATTATTTTTGGGACCAAAAGTAAATTATTTCAGCAACAAAAACTTTTCTAGATGCTTTTCAAGAAGGGTAACAGCATTAACATAGCATACATGCTCCCAGTTTCCTCCCAATGAAATACTATTAAGTTTCATGCATTAACATCTTGTAGATATAATCTAGATGTTAAAGTGTTAAGAAATGTCTATTTTTCCAGCACAGAGATGTCCTGTTTCCTCAACCACAAGCATTTCTATGCCTGATAATTAACTCCCTTACTCCTTACTGCTTCATTGAAGTTGAAGAATCACATTTCCTCACCCTTGCACATCAAAGAAATGCCAGCACATAATGCAAATGCCGTTTTCAGTTTTTGCACAACAGAAAGCCCTACACTTACTGCTCTTTGCTCAGAGGAACATTTCTTTCCATTGGCCACTACACTACTGAAATGGCAAACTGGAAACATTAAATGAATAGCCTAGATTAACTACTTCTGGGAAGGGTATGAAGGCTGACACACACAGCCTGATGCAACTGCAGCCCCAGCACTAAGAAGCGGTTTTCCCAGGAAGAGAAAAACTCCACCCAGGGTTACTAGGTGTCAAACCAGGACACTAGGGCAGTGGAGAGTAACTGATGGCCAACAGAGTAAGTGCGACCTAAACTGTTTCTGAATCATCACCCTTTTTGTGCACTGCTTTAAAGCAGCTGGGGTCCATTCCTCTAATTCCACCACACAAGCATATGTTACAATACTGAACTGAAGCCAGCTATATACAGCTCTCTCAAGAAAACTTTGTGTCACTATCACAGCTGAAAACAGTAGCACGTTTCAGAGATCACGGGAGAGCAAAGCTGAACTTAAAGGCAACTAATGCTTTAAATGCTTTGGCTACGTGCCAATAGCTTTAACCCTGCTGCTAATAAGCTTTATTCTCTGACAGTTGCATCAGATAATACAGACTGATGTTTTAGTGCAACAACAACAACAAAAACCACAACAAAACAAACAAACAAACAAAAAATTCCAGTACCCAAACTGGACTCAGTTGTCTTCTGAAATGATGAAGTGTTATGCCTCCAAGAAAATTAGGAAATGTTAAGGATTCTATTTCACTGTGAAACACTTGGGTACAGTGTTTTATGAACAGGTTGCAGAATAACTAGAACAACATGCAGACTAGTTTCAGTCCCTCAGCTATTTAGCAAGATAAATAGGGCTTTTAATCGACTACATCTGAACTGTGCTGGCTACCTGATGTTCTGTCCTTTAAAAGGACACTGATCAAGAACAGATCAGAAAGCTATCCTGATATCAAACAAGGACACTTCAATGTCAATCGATTAAACTCCAAACCATCTTTTATAGAAAGGTTACTTTACATACTGCAATTTGTGCCTTGCTGGATATGAAATCTTAAAGATGTCATAAGAAGCATGAAGAACTACATAAAAAGTAGGGGTTTTATGTGCTCTTGCCACAACAATTTGTATTTTATGCTCAGCATTACTCAGTCTCTCGGTAGATTGCTAGGAGGGTAGTAAAAGACTTTGCCAAAGCAAGACCTCTGATGTCTGAAAATCAGACACATGTGAGGGCAGTTGCTGTTGTCTTACAGTATGCTTTTCTATATATTTGCACTGAAAAGTCTGCATTATATGCTTCATCTCTATTAAAAATGCTCTAGTTCATTCAGAACAGAATAATCCTGGTCTAACCCCAGGTCTACTATACCTCTTCTGGCAAAATATCACCTTTGCATACATGAAGGTTTTTCTAAGCCCCTTGCAGATTTTTTTTCCTTAAGTTTTGTCCCTATAAAAATCAAAGCGATTCAAGGGAAACTCTGAGGAAATTTGCAAAAGGACTCTCAAGCAAGCATGTCTCCTAAGGGGAGAACAGAAGCAATTCTTTATTTGTAGCAATGCAGCATGAAGGAATAGCTAGAAAAACACTGTATAAATCAAAAAAATCTAATTAGGAGAAATTTGAAAGGTCATGTACTTCCATGCCTGAATTAATCCTTTGTTACCACAAACGGACAAACCATGTGCAGACGTTACACGAGACCTGGCTCACCCAGATACTCAAAAACCATAAGTAATATCAACTCCTCAAACACAAGGGGGCAGTGAGAATATATATTCAACAAAGACTCCCTGATCTATACAGTATGCATTACAAAGCTTTCTTTTCTACACATAGTTCTGTTAAATGAGTAGAAAAACATGTTGTTTCTAGAATCAGAGAAATGTTGCAGCTTTAGCTCTCTACAATAAAATGCTTAATTTTGAAGTGAAAAGCAAGGATCATCTTATCTTAAGCCTTCTTGGGAAAGGCAAAGTGGCAGCTGAACAAAGACACAGGGTATGTTTTCCTTTGTTTCTTCTCCCTAGAGCTCACAGGGTCAGACTCTAAGAGAAGCAGTAATCCCCAGTGCCTCAGCACTCTCCTGATGACAAGCACTGGAGCAATCTCAGATACAGCAACAATCTGAACCAGCACAGGAGAAAGTGCTTTCAGAGACCTGTCTCTTTTTTTTCTGAAGTATGAAAACTACCAAAATGTAAGTCAACACAAAAAATCTGACAAGGGTGAACTATATTTAAAGCATACTGCTGACCAGAAATCTGGCAGAATTAAGAATAGTTAGTTGGTTGTTTTTTTCCAGAATAATAAAAAAATGCAACTGTGGCAGAAAAATAAATAAATATGAAAGCAAGTATTTTTGTGGTTGTGACAATTTAATAGGAAGAAATGCAAAAATTCCTTGTAAAAGCTAAAACCACAATCTTCTATCAAGAAGAGAAATTAAGTCTATCCTGCCTCTAGGAGTCCAAATCCTCCTGTTCAAATATAAATGTTATCGTATATGATCAGAACCATGGTCCAACTAAAAGATATGCTATTTCCTCCACGTGACTTGGGAGGAAGAGGCAGGTAATGAACCAGCCAGTATTTACATGACTCCAAGTTTCCAGAAGTTTGAATACACATCTTTGAGAAAGCATTTTATCCCTTGATGCTAGAAATGCTAGAATTCATCCCATGTTTTGTATCCTACTAGGAAACACAGTAAGTGAAAAGAAAATTTAATACTCTTAAATGCTACTAAAATATTTAGCTGTCACAATGCTTTTGAGATAGCACCTCTTTATGTGATTGATACCTGTTTACCGCTTTTCTTCTCTTCTGCATTTTTCTTGTCATTTTTTTTGTAAGCTTCAAATGTAGCTGGGTCAACACTGTACAAACACTCAGTCCACTTCCCATACAGTGCACAAAGTTTCTTTTTACTGTCAAAAAAAGACTAAGTTTACAAAGGAGCTTCAAGAGATTTATTTCATCAATTCAGACAAAAATATTTGAAAGAAGAACATTTGAAAGCAGCATTTAGAACTCCATTATGGGTCCTGCACAATTCATAACCTTGCTGTTGCAGGTTCATGCCCTTGACAGACTATGTTAAAGGCATTTAAGTTCTACAGCTCCCATCAGAAACAGAGGGCAACAACCTGTTTCCTATTAGGAATGAAGCCATTACCTTTTGTCCTGGATGTAGCCTTCAACTTTGTGCAACTCCTTCCCAAAGAGGCCACAGGGCTTGAAGCTTAGTACACATTTTTCACCAGTTCTAAAGGTAGAACAAGAGAGCACTAATTACTTCCAAACGCTTTTCCTCTTCATACTTGCAGCAAGTAAAAGTACTCACACTCTTAACTTACTTATGATTAGTTATTTCCACGTTTCCATACTGCTCAATCCAAAGTTTGCCCACAATAATGTTATGCACACAGCAGGTAGGATTTGTCCATGTGTAGGCTTCATTGTGTCTAAGGGAGGGGAAAAAAAAAACAACCCTGTATCTTCGTACTGGATGTCACTCCTATAACAAGTCCTCCTCTATAAATTGCACCAACTCTTGAAATGGAAATAAGTCAGGAAACCCAAGAAGTTTATTAACCTACTGCTACTAATTTTATCAATTTCTTAAAACAGCCACTTCAGAGCAATCACTGTTAGCACTGAATGTCATGAGGAAAATCAACAGGAGTTAAGTGTGCTAGTACTAGTAGGACTGATGTCCAGGCATCTGCAGAACAGACACAGGCCTGAACTACTGCTACAATCAGCATGCAGTATATTAGGAGAAATAATGGGAGTTCCTCCTGTCTTCTCATTCTCATCCCCTCCTCCCTGCAAAACAATCTGCCATCAAATATTAGAATGCAGTGTTAAACGTGTCCTTTCCCAAGCCATGAGAGTCTACTGCACACTAATCACCAAGGATGTGGTCACTGTGCCTGCCCAATTATGAAGAATCAACTTACTCAAGAAGCTCCAAAGTCATTGTGCCTTTTGGTTCTGCTTCCACACTCTTGCCCCAGAATTTAAGTTTAGGATAAATTGATCCATGAAACACAAAATCATTATTTAAACCTTCAGCGTAGAAAGCACTGATGGGTGGATGATGGCTTACTTGCTCTGAGAGAAGTCTAAATCCAAGATCATCCCTGCAAAAGAAAGATAACCAAAAGCATGTGTCTATGTTTCAAGTGTAGTCAAGTTGCTGTTCTTTTCCTCAGAGTGAAACAGATAGTTGGACCCATGCATAGTTGCTGTACTCAGTGCAAGAGTTAGTTATGCATTAGGATAAAACAAGAAGAAACTAATACAGAGAACATCCTCATTCTAAAGAACTGAGGACATAATGCAAAAGGGTAACAAGAACTAACAAATCTGATCAGACAATATGTTTACTTTTGACAGCAAGCTTAAACTTTCACATAAACATAGGTCAAAGCCTTACTTGAGAGAAAGATTTGCCCTGAGAGCAGCTGCACGCTAATAGACTAACACTGCCTGTTTGTATTCTGGCCACTCCTATAATGAATATTATAGTTCCTACACATCCCTCATGTACTGTGCATCTTTTCATTCAGAAGGCTTCGGAAAAAAAAAGAAGTCATCTTTGTAAATAAAACTTGCTTTTAAACCTGGCAAATTTAATTTGCCTTCTCCAAGTTGAAAAGTTAAGCAGCTTCCCTTCGCTGGGAACTGCTGAACAAGAACATACTTTGCAAACACCTCCAGCAGCTGCTAGAAGAACAGGAAGAATCTCACAAGGCAAAGAGCAGCCTGCAAGCCACATGACAAGTCTAAAGCAACACTGTGTACACAGAAAACTCCTCTCTGCTCCAGTGCATCTTCTCTGTTTGTTACCTGATCAATTCATATGTCTCTCCAAGCAAGGGATTGAATGGCTTCCCTGTGCGCTCCCACTGCGAGGCTACAGCAGACACAGCAAATGCAGCAACACACTATTCAAAAGAGTAAGAGCATGCAGTTAGTCTCCTGGATTTTAGTCTTTATCAAGTACCAACAGCAGTCATGGTATTACAGAACAATTCTTCTTAAACAGCTTAGCAGAGTTCCATTTGCTTGGCAGGGGAATAAACAGTTTTCAAAAGGCTAAAAAAAGAAAGCCTTAGGAAAAGCAAAACATTTTCCTAAAAAAGCAAAAATGCTTAATGAATAAGAGAACCCAACATGCAGTAAACTACAGAAGGTCTTCCTAGGAGGAATGAGGCCAGGCAAAAAAATCCCAACGCGTTCCTCAGCACAAACTACCACACCCAAGGTACCTGCATTCGCTCAGTTGTGCTGGACAGTGAGCTGGCCTTGTGGATGAGGTATGTATGCTCCATGTATTCTGTAAGTCGCTGTAGGAAGCTCAGGGGCTCGTTGAATATCACTGGCATGGTGATCTTCGACAACTCCTGATGCACAAATGAAATTTGTATGAAACCCCACATGATTACATACACCGACCTGCAGTAACCCAAGTGTAATTGGCTTATTACAGAAATACGTGATGCTCTTAATGCTAATGCAATGTGCCTGACCTGGCTCTGCTAATGCTGAAAAGAAAAAACCCTCTAGGTCCTTATGAGCTTGATAAACCCGTGTTGACAGTAAGGCTACTTTTAAAACAAAGAGAAAACCAAACATCAAACTTCTATCAACACACAAAGGTGAGATGAAACAATGGAATTAATTCTTTTATAGCATTCTTAATAAAGTTACTTAATTCTTAAAAACAGATATAGGCCATCTAATTATTCAAACATCTTTTTTGGAGGCAGGTGGGCAGGTGTGAGGAAGAGGATGAGAAATGACAAGGGAACACGGTGGCACAGGAGTAAAAGCAGGGATTCTGTATTCTGATGAGAAAAATATTTGTAACAGGAATAGAAGTTCTAGAGAAGTCCTATCCTTTTGATTATCTTTATTCTTTTTTCCATTTTTAAAAAACATGCAATTTGAATGCACAGCACAGCAATATTTTAAACTGCTGCCAGTAGCTAATTAAAAGCATTGGTATGACCACTGGCAATATGCACAGTAAACAGCACTGTTCTTACCCATAATAGCAGCATCTGACACTAACAGCTTTGGCAGACACTTTGGTACAATTCACTCCAAGTTAGTTCCATCCCCTCCCCCCCAGACTTCAGCTTCTGTGCAGCAGTTTCTGCAATGCAGAGCTAACACCTTTATGGATTTATTTTTTTTTCCCAGCACACACCTTACGCAAGACAGGCTTTCTGCTCTTTGTATTTTAAGTTTATACACCTTTCCACTAAAGCAACTGTGAGAAGCCCCAGATGCTTCACAACAACTCAGGAGGCTTAGAGCTACTGATACAGGCATTCCCAGCACTTCCACATCTCATTGCTTGGTGCTGTTTCTAACTATAGCAAAGGGGAGAGGAGAAAACAACAGCAACTAAGCACATGCATTCCCTTCTGTAGGCTACTGTTAAAGGCTGACAGAGGTCTACCAGCAGTAAGTACTTTCAGATTCCAGGATCTAATGAAGAACTCTTCCCAATTCACCCTAGTTGGAAGCAGATTACGTGCTAACCAGCTACCCTCTGATCTGGCCAGTCACACCATGGGGGTGGGGAGGGCGAGGCAGAGAGCAAGGAGGAGAGGGAAGGCTGAGATACTAAGGAGAAGGGAGAATTGGAAACTTAGTTGTCTTTCTGGTTTATGTTTGTTCACAAGGAAAATAAATTTTTGCTACTGTTACCATTTTAAGATATCTCCCAAAAAGGCAAGGAGGCTACATTTAGGAAGGAGACACTGCTATTTAATCCAGGTTTTCACAAAGCTGGTTTCTTGGTGCCTTCCCACAAATCAAGCATACCAAAAAGATTTTTGGTGACATATTTATACACAAAACTATAGAGTTAGTAAGCTTCCAAGTCTATCCTCCTTATACTTGGGAGATGAGATTAGTTTGTGATTTACATACAGTTACATCACTTTTTCTGCTATCACACGTACTCAGGGGAAAGGTTTTCACCTGGGCAAGGGTCTTTTTGATCTGGGGGTGGGATCTTTAGTATTATAATGACATTATAATGAGCTAAGTTCACCTAAAGGACACAATACTGCAATTCTACATCTTCAACTGCCTTGGACTGGTTTAGGAGTCAATGATCTTGATTTTCGTTCTTTATCACCTCCTGAATTCCTTAGGTCCAATTAAATATATATATATACACACACACTGAAAGTCTTCTCTGCCAAGTTGGTAATTTACATGAGACATTCTTTAAACCTTTTGATTAATTGCCTTCTTCAAGGCCTATCTATCGCAGGATGTCCTTGCTACATACTAGCTGTGGTCCTAACAGTGTGCCTTTCTGACTGCCATTTTAACTTGTATATATAAACAATGTAAATTTCTGAGTTATTTTCCAGCACTACCAGAATACTTTAAGGGTTAAAATCAAGACAACATGCTTTTACTGAAGGAATATTGCTCTGACCAAGTCTTACCTTCTCCAGTTGTGAAAGAAAATAAAGCATAAGCAGCACATTTAAAAAAATTATAATCCCTCTCCTCAACAAGTTTTATTTGGGCTTCAAATGAAACAATCATTTCACATCTTTTATCATCACTTTCTGGTTACCTACCATTCCAATGCATTTTCTTAAGATACTCCAGATACTGAAGTCATTTCTGGAAAACATTGGAGATGGCAAGCTTGTTCTGTGGAAAGGAACAGGAAAGAAAGCAGAAGTAATAATAGTTTTCCATGACTAATTATGACTGAAGAACCAAAATACTCTTACTTTTTTAAGAAAAAAGTGTTTTCCAGTTTTTAAATTAAAAACCAAGGGCGATTGACAGTGATACTTCAAAACATTTAAACAATTTTACCTGCACAGAAGATTGAATTTCTCAAAAACCTGGAGAACCATTCTCTTAATTTTGTATAAAAGCAATGGAAAAGAACTTTTACATCCGTTCCTGGAACAGCGTTTTCACAACAGCACCATTAAGATACTTAGTTCTAGCTTTGTGAGAGAAAGTTCTTTCTAAATAGGCACATAAGTAAGTTCACTGTATCTGAACAGATTTGAGGGTTAAACAGTGAGGGTTTTTTTGCTAGCCACCTGTATACTGACAATGAAGAGCCATGACATTTCTTACCTATATTAAAATCAGCCCCCAGGAATAACAGAAAAAGCAGCATTGTTAAAGAACAAGAAAATACAGCAATTTATTCTACAGGGGACTGACATCCTGAAGCAAGTACCTTCTAGGCCAACATTTAGGTTCTGTAACACAGCTTGTATTTCTCAGCTTTATGAGAAATCAGGCAAAGATTTTGTTCAGTTTTCTTACCAGTACTGACTGGTTCAACTATTAATCCAATTTAGCTAGAAAGGCATAAATACAGGTCAAAGCCCTTTGTCCACAACAACAATTAAATTTGTCAATTAGCAACTGAGCCATTACCAATGAGAAATATTTTCAACAAATAATAACCTACAACTCACTCAAAATGCATGAACTATTTGAGTATCAAAGTTTAGTTCTGTTTAAACTGCCATGTTGCCCTCCTAACCAAGAAGGTCTTGTCTACCCTCAAAGTAGCTAAAGCAGTATCTTTTTATTTTAAAGAGTGTGAAGAAGCTGTAGCTGCTTCCTCCACCCCACTTTTCTGATAAAAAGGAACAATTAAAAAAAAAGAAAATCTATTCGGACCAAGTTGTTAATGTCAGTAGCCCTACTTGCTGTGTTACCTCCCATACTTATCTGCTACTGAAAAACCTTTAACAGGCTGATGCTTTAGTTTTCAGAAAGAACAAAACAAAAAATGCTCCTTAAAATAAAACAAGCCCCATCCAACCAAAAACCTACTCATGTACCTTAACTCCTCACAGTATTAAATCATATTTTGTTAGCAAGCAGCTAACAGTCTAAGACTGACTTGTTTTATTCATCTCCCATGCAGGGAACTAAGTGGGTACGAGGATTTATTTTAATTGACCCACATGATATCACTGACTCCCTATTCTGATCTTCCAGTGAAACAGAACATCTTGAATAATATTAAGTATAAAAATATTAAGTATAAAATACTTCTGTGGATGCTTTGATACAAATGTCCAGGAGAGGACAGTGTACACCATGTATTCAGTCTTATCTTAATTTGTAGCGTTTACTTGTTTTCTGTGCATTCTTTAATTAAGGCAGTTAGAGCAGGTATTTGTGTTTAAGCAAGCCCTTCTGAATGTAAAACACAGACACATGCCTCCACTTTGCTGAGGCATAGACAGGGATTACTTTCCTTACATATTAATTTTCCTTTTTCCTTTAAGCTAACATGTCCCTCTGCTCAATTAGTTTAATTACTTGAAAGTTGGCATTCATTTTCAGCCATTCAACCATGTATCGGCCAAACCTGATATAGGAGTTTTCTCCACATAACACACACATACTGAAGAAACGGAGCAGTTTTAAGCCACCCAGAAAAATCCTATGGACAAGTAAAGACGTGAAAGAGACAGGCAGCCAAGACTTGAGGCCTACTAACCTTGACACACTCCCTAATTAAGGGAAATGTTTGTGAATGCAAAAGTTTCCTTCCAGATGTCAATTTTAGAAACAACTCAGGAAGTTAATTTTAGCTTTAAGTGACAAAAACATCTACTGGAATTTCTGTGCGGTAGGTCAGATAGGATGGGTTTAAGATAATTCCATTAAAAAACACTTGTTCAAAGCATTATCCATATTAGATCAGCTACTACAGGAATCTCATGGGGAAGAAAATATCTTATGAGAAAAAGGTGTATTTAGCTTATACCTTATGTAAGCCTGATCAAATAACCTCCTGGCTTGCAAAAAGCCATTAGCACTCTGAAAGACCTCCAATGGAGGAACCAATAGGAAAGATACACTACAAAATCTCAGCAATGAGAGGGAAACAGCAGTAATAAACTGTTAAATGTTGGCAGATACTACAGGACATTTTTGTGCAAGAGTTTGAGGATGGCAGGGTTTGGTTGTTTGTTTGGTTTTTTTTTTTAAGTTTGGCTCAGATTAAAAATTTTGTTCTTAAAAAATAAGTTACTTAAATGCTTTCAGATTTAATGTACTATTCTCTTATCTCTCAAATCCTCATTCTCAAAAATTAGGTCCACTCTCAAATCAACCTAAACTACAAGAAGTCACATCACTCACATCCTTTCAAACATTCTATGAACAATCAGTAGGATACAAACTACAAGTAAAAATCAGAATAAGACAGTAGATTATAAGTGGCACTGGTTTAATCTATCTGTAGACAGATAACTAGTAACACCACACAACTCACATCCTGAGAAGGTTCTCTTGAAGGTAAAAATTATATTGGCTAAGCCCTGGGGAACCAGAGTTTGCATTCATATATTTGTAGACAAATCCCAGTGTGTCACCAAGGTGCCAGCAGCTCAACCTAGAGCATGCTTTATAGCCATTTAATCACATAAAACATGACCATACATTGTTACCTAGATGCAAACCAGAAGTTTCTGCTTTTCTTTAGCAGCAAATTATTAGCCAACAATGCACTCATTTTACTCCAACATCCTACACACCTTACTACTAAAAGACATGCAACTCAGAAATAATTTATGCAGAGGTAATAGTTTATTTTTTTGTTTGTTATCCTTTGTTATCCTTTATAAAGCCAACAGATATTAAATGCTACTCCAGTCACCTGCTCCTTCTCCTTCTAACAACATAGTGCAGCGTTACAGAAACTTGAAAAGTTATTACTTTTTTTTACGGTAAACAGAAGATCAATTCCTGTTAAAACTCTTCAAGACAATGTATGTTAACAGGCATCATCATAATTTTCATGTTGATCACGAATTGCCTCCTTCTCCTCAATGTTTCCAAGGCAATTAATGCAATTCAGATACCCACCTTCACCTAGTGCTTCCCCCATCCCTGAACTTCCTGCTCTAATTAGGAAAGGCACTTAGCCAAGGCCATAAATATCACATTGCTAACAGTACTGGAGTGCAGAGCAGCATGCTTAGTCAGCTGCTTTATGTTATCTTCCCAAACCACCCTGTTACTCCACCCAAGCCCTCATTTGCCTTAGTCTTTACCTAGTATGGGAGGGATATACATGCAGAGGTTGAACCTTGAAACATCAGATCTCTGACGTTAACACATAATTCAACAGTCACTGCAATTTAAGTTACCAGGTAATTAAAGCACGAGTTGCTTACTTCTGTAAAATAAATACTAATTTCCTGTTTTTACAGAAATCTGGTGTCACCGTCAACACTCCACACATTCAAAACACTTCCAGAGTAGTCATACTGAAACATGCTGAAGTCTGGCTTGATCTGTAGCACAAACATTACATTGCCCCTTCACTGAAACTTGAGAACAGTGGTGTCTATTACATCTCATTAACTCCAGACCTATTGTCCTCCTTTATGGGCAAGGAAACAAACAAAAATGGATCATTTGACAACACAAAATAAGCACATAAAACATAGATGAGACTTTTAGAATAAGACTCCCTTTGTTCACATCTGAGTTGTTGATGCAATGCTAGCAATATTTTTCATTCATTCCCGATACCAATAGAAGGATCAAATGACTGGAAATTAAAGAGGCAATAGGAGGCATAGGTCATTAAAGATAAATGAAGGAATTAAAATCCACATAGATTTCAATACAATCTATTAAAAAACAAGAGTGCACCCATTTTTATATAGCATACCATATTTTACTTATTCAGATTTGATCACCAAAAAGAAAGATGGCAAAGGAGTATATGAGCCTTGGAAAAATATTCTTTATAAAATCATAGCACAACCAACTACTTGTCAATCATCCCTAAAAAAAGTTTTTAAAGCTTTCACAGTTAGTTTTCAGAGATTCCTGTGGTCTTTAACTCTCCATTAATGCAAACTAGAATACCTTAAAAATAGGTAACATCCTACCTGTGTTTTTTTATTCCGTTAGACAGCAACTCCCCACTGCCACAATCCTTTTCTTCAGACATGCTTGAAGTTATTGTCTCTTTGGAATCCATGCTGTCTTCTAATGAGTAGGCAGCTGTTGTTTCAAACCCACTTAGTGATTTTTCAGATTCTGAATCTGCAAAAGAACAGGTGCATGTTAACAAATCTACTGCCTGTGCTAGACTTCAGCCACTAACAGATCTTCCCTCTTTCTACAAAACTGAAACCTAAGTAGGCTACTGTGTCCTGATGACAGCATCTATTTGGTAAGTAACTAGTACTGCCACAACTGCTGCAGCTCTATGTCTAGATGTAGACTAAAGAGATTGTGAAATAAGCATGAACACAATAGATTAAAAACCTTGTATCAAACAGAGCTAAAATTCTGACATTTTTACTAAACTAAAGTTACTACATTTTGCTTAAATACCAATTACCTCAACATTCAAGTATTGATTCCTCCTATGTAAGATTTCAGTTTGGTCTAAAGTGTCTTCTTAGACACTCGGTGCAGTTCAGCAATCTTCACTTCCCAACTTACTGAACAAGTATCAAAGAGCAGAAGGAGGTATCATAGGCAGTGGATTACATTAGCCATTACATGAGTCCCAGCAAAGTCTAAATGATAAGATCACCAATCAATAAGATAAACTTTGTACTGTGGAAGGTAGATTAATAGTACAATCCATAACAAACTAAAAAACAACATCAATGACACCACCTTATTTCCAACCAGCAGTCTGGCTAGGTAGTGCTTGATCAGCTCTTGAGAAGGACAGACTTGCCCCAAATCAGAAAGCACAAGTTTTCTGGCAAAAGGCTGCATTGTTGTTTCATGTTTTTATTTCAAACTTGACAAGATTGTCAAAGGATTTTCCAATTGCAAGTTCCAGGAAGCAAGGGAAGAGCTCAAGACAAGTAAAGATGTACCAATTACTGTCCCATCTGGGAAATCCTTTAGCAGATACCAGGTACAACACTGAATGGCAAAACAGCTTTATGTAAGTCTCACCGCTTCTGAAAAAAGCAAACCTAAACTATAGTAGACACCATTTCTGCTATACAGTTCTTTCAGCATTTGCTGCTGCTCTTGGCTGCAAATACCCAGAGAAATAATAAAAAATCAGTCACTCTCTCACACCCTGATTCTAATTCAAAACTAGTAATCAAAACCTGCTGAAGTAGCAGTCCATCCAAAAGAATATCTTAGTCACAGCTGCCCATTGTCAGGGGCTTTGTTTTCTCTTATAAAGCAAGGCTAATAGCTTCTCCAGAACATATAAATTATATGTTGCTTTGGTGAAGGGGACAGTGACAAGAGGACTTTATACTACATCCAGAGTACAGAAGGGTCAAAGTCCTGACGAAAAACAGGCTGTGCCACAATGTCTCCATCGTCTCTAGAGAGAGTGAGATCTAGAAGCATAAAGGAGATCTTTCCTTTCACTAAAAACACCCATCCCTATCCTTGTCAAGACAGTACTGAAATTAAGCCAGTTGCTAGGGAATGAAAGGAACTGCCAGCTGGTGCTGAGGATATGTTAGAAAAGTGGACTGGCACTCCAGAGAATCATCTCACAAGTTTCCTCAAATTTGTCAGTCTAGTTCTGTGCCAAATTATGATATAACTTATCAAAGCACTAAATTTGGTGGGTAGTGTATGTAACAAGTAGGATAAGGAGAAGCATTTTCACTTGTGGACAACTCTGTTACATAAAATCCTTATTTTTTCCAGAGGACATAAGTTCAGGTAATCAGGAAAACACTGGTGCATATCCAAATAGCACAGAGGAAGAAACATTCTAGCAATGTAAGGCAGCTTGGCATCCTGGCCACATGACAAGCTATAAAACGATCCACCAAGGTAGGCATTCCACCTCTGTTGAAAGAGCTGCTCAACTGTGCCAATGCCAGTTATCATGTCAAAAAAGCACGAAGCAAAGACATAAATCAAAGACTATACCTCCTGTAAGGCTTCTTTCTTCTCCTGTATCATTCGAGACTGTCCTGTTTTCAGACAAGAGTCACAAGACAATTCCCTCCCTTTGAGTTTCTGCAACAGACCTAGCACTCTAGAGGCAGAAAGAAAAGAACTGGCATGCTTGGATGACAAGGATTTTTTAACACTACATATGATTAGTTGTCCTAGTGTTGGTCTTACAGTGCAGAGACACAATCATGCTGGACTGAGCACCTGCAAAACTCTCCATAGCTGTAGACACTGGCCAGACAACTTTCTCCAGGGCATGTGCCTTACTTATTACAAGAGCATGCTACACAATAAAGAATAGTAGAAGAATGAAACAAGCCACTGTTATAACAAGTTGCTCTCTAGAGAAGTCTCTCCCATTTTCCTGAGAAATAGCTCTCATTAAGAAAGTATGTCTACAGCAACTCCAGCCACCAAAGATCTCAATGTCCAGTTCCTACACATTAGCTACCTCCTTCGACCCAACAAGCTCAATAAGCCTTGACAGTTTGTTTCAGCATTAGAGTGAACAAGCCTAGAATTGTACTGTAAGCACAGATCAATAGGTAACTCAAACCAAGCTTTTCCCTGTGTACTTGCAGCTAACTCTTTTCTGAATTAAGATTTGCATACTCCCCCATCACTGCAAAAAAAGATTTATATTCACAAGTTGCCAGAGAGCAGCTGTCAAACAGATGATGAGGAGAAAATGAGCATTTTTTTCTATTGAACTTGAGTGGGTGTGGGCAGAGGAGGGGGGAGAAGGAATAAGAGTCTCTGTTCAGAAGCCAAAATTTTTAAGCTATCTTTGTGACAAGACCAGGCTGACTAGGAAGCTCTCCAGCTCATGAAACCTGAAGTGTCAGAGTAACAGTAAAAACACCAACTACATTTTGCAAGGGTGGGAGAGCAATGGGAAACAGCAGAAGCAATGACAGAGGCTTAACTTAAGAGTTCATCTCCTACTGCAACAACTGCTAAGTCCTCAGCTCCAGATAGAAAAGTTTGGCCAATATATTTGATTAATAAATATACCTGAGAATGGTAGTGTTTAACCAATGGCAAGGCTGGGTTTGAATTCTGACACAGTGTTCTGCCTCTCTCTGTCTGAGATAATTATATTAATTCTTTTAACTATGTGCAAGGCAAGAACTCCACTGGCAGCAGTGCTCCTGCAGAGGTCAGGGAATATTTTTGGTATGCATTCAGAAAATGCCACTTGACAAACTATGCTAAAAATGGAAGAAAGGGTAGTAAGTTTCTATGCTTTTAAAAAATTTTTACTTTTAAGTGGGCTGATAACTGGAGGCGAACTAGGAAGTGAGCAAAAGCAATAGAACTAGTCAACTACTTCTTATACCACTTAGGACCATTACTTATAAATACAACACCCATTAGTGGTACCCAACAGTTGAAGCTGTACTATGACAGGCTAGCTTTAGTATAATCTAAATATTCCTGTAGGTAAATAACTGCTTTTATAATAAGCTTGCACCTGTGTAAAACCACCAATACCCTTCTCAACAAACACAAAAGCTGTGCTGGCAGAAAAACCTCTCAGATAAAAGCCCACTAAAGAGAGAAAATCAGGACTGTTCTACTTCATTCCCAAATTGAGTATCCAATTTGTGCATAATCAGGGAATCCTATTGGCAAGGCAAAAATCAAGTACCTTTGTCCTTTAATTCTTGTCCTGCTTAGGCATTTTTCAGCATTGTGGATGAACTCTGTGTCTGTATTCTATTTTCATATGCTTCCTTAGGTCTGTACACTTAATAAAAGATAACAACTTCTCCAGCTCTCTAGGAGATGCCATTGGTCCTATTAAATATTGCTACTTGTTTAGTTCTTCCCTTCCCCACTGCAGAATCACAGAACTGTTAAGGTTGGAAGGGACCCCTGAAGGTCACCTTGTCCATCCCCCCTGCTCCCTACCCTGCTTTAAACATAGAAAAAGAGTTGGAATCATGTTAAACATTCAATCTTGAAACCATGAGCTCCAGCACTCCATGTGCTATCAAGTTTAATCACACATTTCCACCACTCCCATGATGAGGGGATCAGAACACCAGGAAGTGCTGTTACCTGACCTATTGCTATCAGAGTTAAAATTAATAACACCCTTAGCTTTGCTGTTCCTAACACTGGATACCATGCTTCAGTAACACAAATAACTTCCACTTCCTGAAATTTCTTGCTTTCATGTTCAGTGTCTACAGTTCTACCATTGCAGGGATTTAGGAGTTACCACAAGCTATTATCAGTGCTTTCTGACTGTTATCACTTAAAGAGAGGAAAGACTTCAGCAAATAAACTACTACTTCAGTAAGCAATTTTACCAAATCATAAACATTTTCCTCACCCCAGGTTTGGAAAAGAAATAAGATATTTCTGTAATTGTGCCTACAACTTCTACAAACAGAACAACACAACACAGACATAACAGTGACCAGTTTAGTCTCTGCCAACATTAGCAGGTAGTGTGGCTCAGTTTGAGCTGATACCCAAGTTAAACAGATGGTGCTTGAAGACTTGACACTTGAACTAGACACATTTCTGGTGGTGTTTTCCTCAGACTGGCTCTACTCTCCTACAATGGATTGTGCCCAATAGCAACCAGACGGTATCTTCTGATTCAGCTTCATTGAGGAGTCTGCTTCATGCAACCAGATTGCTCTACAAGGTGAATCAGAGCATGATAAACAGGGACAAGTAGCTGCTGCTGTGCACATATCTTTTCTAATACACTTTAAAAAAAAAAATCTGTTTGAAAATTCCTGCATGGCTCTGAAGTGTCACAGCTAGTGATACTTTTGTTTAGAGGAAACAAACATGCAGACATCAATCTTCTGCTTCATGCAACCAGATTGCTCTACAAGGTGAATCAGAGCATGATAAACAGGGACAAGTAGCTGCTGCTGTGCACATATCTTTTCTAATACACTTTAAAAAAAAAATCTGTTTGAAAATTCCTGCATGGCTCTGAAGTGTCACAGCTAGTGATACTTTTGTTTAGAGGAAACAAACATGCAGACATCAATCTTATAAAGAGCAAAACAAAAAGCAGTAGTGGGTTCTTTCACCCTGTCAAGTCCAAGCTTAACGATTCTTCAGCTCAAAGTGCAAGCCTAGCTATGCAATACTCACTTCTAAACTCACTCCTATGGTGAAAATTTAAAAATTCAGAGATCTGTAACTGTGTAAAGATGGTATCCTATTACAAGAAATACTCTTGAAGTAGTGGCATTTCCCCACCATATATTATAACTCATTATATCACCCAGCTAAAAGACATTGGTGTTTGCTCAACCTCTTATACAGCTTAATAAGGCTAAGCCATGAATATGTCAATTATATAAATATAATTTATTAAAATACTATCAGACTGCAAATTAGGTTTAGCAAAAACTTTTAAGACAAAGTCCTAGAAATTTAGACTTCTGGAGATATACATTTTTAGCTTTTAACAGTTAGGCCTAGTCACTGCTCTCTGTTACGAAAATATTTCTGACCACAGTCCCTGTCTCAGTAACCAAAAAACATACAACCCACATTTCCATCTCTGGGCCATTGTCATATACCCCCAACTCCTCAGCTATCACAGTATTCTCGTCATACTGAGACAAGAAGCCTCATAGTCAAGACTCCACAAACATGGAAGAAAAGCAAAATGGTTAGAAAGTATTACCAGGATCCCAGAGATTAGCAAAAAAACCCACTCAGTGCATCCAGAAGCCAGGAAGGCATTACCTTTCCCTTTCTCAAGCTCCCCAGAAAGTAATTTAAAAAAAAAATAAAATCAGAGTGCTCTTCCCCCAAACACATGCGTTCAGAGACAGAGAAGGCCCTATTCACTGCAAAGAACTGAATGGGAACAACCCAGAGAAGGAAATCTTACACAAGCCTGATGAAGTTGACAGACAGTCAAGAAAGTGAGTCTGCCCTGAAAAATTACTTTAATTGCAATCAAGATGAATTACATCAAGTAACTTCTCCCAAAGCAGAGAGAATTGACAATCTATAATGTATATATATGTACATATACACATATATATATATATGCTCAACAAGTTTCAGTTTTACAAATTTATTCAATGTGATTTGTTTGCAGCTTGAAGTGACAAAAACACAACCCCTCCCATCTAGAGAGAAGGCTTTAGACCTTTTCTTTCAAGAACACTGAGAGACTGGGTCAGTTATGAGATGCATAGACTAGGAGTTCTTTAAAGCTGAGTATTCTCTCATATACACAAAGCAAGCCTGGCTGCAAAGACTACATTCTAGCAGCACCAGATAAACAATTGTTCTCTGCTTTGTTGCAACAAGCAAAAGAGCCGGAGGCCTTTCAGCAGATTTGTTCTTTAGGTTCTGGTTGCTGAACCCGTTTCTAAGCATTCCTCAATCTCTTCTCCTAGTGAAGGCCTGATAAATTTGTTAACTGTGCCAAGCAGCAAAGTCTGCTGTTGATTTGTTGTGTTCCTGTGCTAGAGCTATCCTTGAGCATAGACTTCACTTTGCCCATTTTTGTTCTCTACTTCAGTTGTGCCCTGCAGAACACCTATAAAGGAGTCTGGGAACAGAATTATGACTTGACTGTCAGAAGCAGCTCACAGGAAAAGTAACCACATACTTGGTCATGAGATATGCCATCACAACCTGATTATCTGTTATGGTTAGATTATGTTCACCCTCAAACTTTTCCAACTGTAGACAGCTGTGTGCTGCAGGATCACTCATTCAGAGGTATTATGCAGCTGTTCTGTGTACAACCTCTCTATATGAATGCATGTCATAATCATAGAATATGCTGAGTTGGAAGGGACTCATTGGGATCATCAAGTCCAACTCCTACTCTTGTGTAGGGCACCCCAAGAATCATACCATGAGCCTGAGAGCATCATCAAAATGCTTCTTATATTCAGACAGGCTTGGTGCTGTGACCATTTCCCTGGGGAGCACGTTCCAGTGTTCAGCCACCCTCTGGGTGAAAAACCTTTTCCTGATATCCAACCTAAACCTCCCCTCATTCAGCTTCCTTCACTGATTCATGTCCTTTTCTGGACATGAGCCACCAATGTGCAGTTGCAGCCCAGAAGGCCAACTCCATTCTGGGCTATATCAAAAGTGTGGACAGCAGATTGAGAGAGGTGATTCTGTCCCTCTACTCTGTCCTGGTGAGATCTCACCTAGAATACTGCATCCAGCTCTGGTGCCCCCAGCACAAGAAAGATGTGGACCTGTTAGAATGTGTCCAGAGAAGGGCCACGAAAATGATCCAAGGGCTGGAGCGCCAGTTGGGGTTGTTCAGCCTGAAGAAAAGAAGGCTCTGGGAAGACCTCATAGTGGCCTTCAAGTACCTGAAGGGGGCCTACAGGAAAGCTGTGGAGGGATTTTATACAGGGGCTTGCAGTGAGAGGACAAGGGGTAATGGTTTTAACTGAAAAAAAGAGAGATTTTAGTTAGAGAACAGGCGTAACAGATGTTGTGGGGACTCCATCCCTGAAAGTGTTCAAGGGCAGGTTGGATGGGGCTCTGAGCAAACTGTTCTAGTGGGAGGTGTCCCTGCCCATGCAAGGGAGTTGGAACTCGATGATCTTGAAGGTCCCTTCCAAATCCAAACATTGTGTAATTCTATGATTCTTGACATTTCCCCAAGTCCTGTCATTGGTCACAGGAGAGGTAAACACCTTACACAGCTCAGAGTTTCAAAAAAAATTACTACTTGCATGTTCTCCACATGAAAACAAAAGATAATAAACTGAAGAGCAGACAAGGAAAAGATATTTCAGAAATGCACACAGGATTTTGATTCTCTTTCTACCACATACAATACATACAAAACTGAAACAGAATAAGTCTTTCTTAACCTCATTATGCCTCCAAACTAGGCATTTTTATGGACCAATATTAACAACAAACCAAACCAAAAAACACACATCACCATGGGGAAATCAAGTCAGAAGGCTACCAGATAGGGTTACATCTAAAATAGGAGCTTTAATTTCTGTTATTAAAAAAAGGGGTGTATACTCCCAAACAATCGGACCTTTCATGACTGCCTTGTAGTTTTTAACTTTGCCATGCTGAGGTGAAACAATACAATTCTACAGGTGAACTCAGGCTCATGAAGCACATGAAGCATTTTCCTAAAATTAGTTTCACATTAGAAAGGCAGAGACTTCACTTAAAGTAAGACTGTTCCCAACGCCCTGCCACATCACCACCATGTTCATCACACACGTCCTGGCTCCACACTCACATTCTGGGCATTATTACTTACCTGAAACAGCATCATAGAACTGCTCTTCACTGATGATGCTGAGAGGTGGAGATCCCTTAACCAGAGACTGTTCTAGTTCATGGTGTTCAGTAGCTAGTGTCTCTAATGCTTCTGACAAGATCTTGTTTTTCTCCTGCTCATGCTCCAGTTTCAAATTCCTCACCTATAAGTAGATACATGTATGAATAAAATCTCATCTCTTCAAAGAATGTGTGGCTAGAAGCTGTTCAAAAAATAGACTAATAAATAAATAAAAGGCTAACAGCTGGAACTGAAGCCACATGGATTAATAAGAATGTTACAGTATTTTTTATGATGACAATAAGGCTGTTACTCAGCTTTTCCAAGTAGTTGAGAGATCTGACAAATAAAATCTGACAGTATAGATCACAATTCCACAAGTAAATTTAAACCAGATAACTATACCTTAAAAACGAGGGGAAATATTTACAACTCTACTTGGATGATCTCAGCTCTGGAGCTAGTGATCGGTTTCTACATGCACCAAGCTCCTTGTACTAGTCTGCTCTAATCTGGGCCAAGCAGCATCATCTAAATTGAATTACAGAGCAAATGGGAATGCCAGCTACAAATAACTGCAACTGAACTATGAGCTGAAAGCGTTTAACCCTGAGGATTACAGTAGAAGGTTAAAAAAGAAATTCCTCTACTAACTGATTTAACATTGATAGAAACAGAGCCCCCTCTTCCCACTCCCAAAACAGTTTCCTGAGGAGCCAGAAGCTGACCAAAAAAGAAGCCCAGCCACCAGATGGTGGACTTTTTTTTAAGCCCACACATACAATCAGCTCCAGAGAGGATGATGTTATCCACATTTTGAGACCAGGACTAGTAATGAGACACCAACAAGTCCTTCCTATTTCCTCCTCGTTTTTTTTTGCTGGTGCTCTCCCGCCTCCTCTTACTGCCGAGGGAGGGGGGACAGCTGCAGCTGAAGGCTCAGGGAGGGCCTTTTCTTCCAGCTCAGCAAGGCTTCAGTGTGCTACTTCTCCTTTAGTCCCTAAACCACTGACTTTTCCTTTCTCCCTTCCAGTCCCTTGTTAAAAGGTATCCCCAACTCCTGTCTTGGCCTTCGGTCTCCTCTTACAGGTCACTTTGCAACGCTAATTTCCCCTCCACCAAGAACAAGCAAGGACATGACAATTAACCTCCTGGAACAGTTACAGGGACAACTTATACGCTTTCCTAAGCAAGTTACATATAGCAACATTACCTCTTTGAATCTAATTTAAGAACAGTTTGTACATCCTATCTGATTAAATTTTACATTAAAGCTTTAATTCGGAGGCTTCAGCCCCCTCAGTTGTAATAACCACTCAAATAGTGGATTCAGGGTCAGGCACAAATGAGGGAGTGCAAATTTAGATGCTACAAAGGAGGTATTAAAGCAGATTTGCCACTTCCAGAGAAGAGTTTCTATGCTGGCAACAACATACCCTCCAGAGACTTATGGAAGAAATTTTCACCCCCTCAGTTGTGCCAAATACTAAATCAGCTGGTTTGGCTGCCAGGCTCTGAGTGTAAAGTGGCAATCCAATTAATGATAATTAAAAGAGTATAAAATTGGGTTGCTAATTGAAAGCAATAAAACTAGTAAGTCACTTACTGTCTAATAGTTTTATCCTGAACAAAATTTAAAAGCCTGGACTAGTTACTGTCACTTTCATTTAAAGTTCACTCTGACAGTACCACTGAAGCCAATTACTGCAATGTTTCATAAAAATCAGATGTCTCACTGCAAAAGATCTGTTACTAAGCAGTTTCTGCAGGATATATTTTTTGTATGCTGACAGTTAAGGAACTGCCCATTTAGAGGAACAGCATCAGTATTTACTTTTTCTGAGAGAAGGAGGGTAGAATACTGAAAATAAAATTGCACTTTTCATTCTTATTAAACAGCAAAGTAAAACCAGTTATTAAAGTTGTATTTGCAAATTTTTTTGCAGCATTGAATTAGATGCCTTTATGCTATGATGTTTTGATTTTATAAATTATTTGAGTAATCCAAGTCTTTACCTAAAACTTATATTTCAATGTTATTTAACAGCAAACCGGAAGAAAAAAAAAATACATCTAACAAAACACAGATGAGCCTTTTTTTTTTTTTGCATCCTCTAAGAAGCACATTAGCGTGACTAAACAAGCAACAACAGATACAGGCTTAAGACACCACACCTCCCCTGAAAAAGCCTTTCATTGACATAACATAGTTATTCAGAATTGCAGGTGGTGTACTAGAAATAAATTACCTTTTTGGAAAACAAATAGCTAGCTTTACAGTAAGGTTCACTTTTCTGCATACTTCCAAGCTTCTTAGGTGCCAGACATTTACTAATACAGCAATTATACACTACTAGAAAGTAACAAAGAAAAGTTTCTCATCTGTTACATAAGCAGCACAACACTAGCCAGAAACCAAGGAAAAAAGAAAGCATGGTTGTTGCTTGTAAACTTTGTGATGTTCATTCCTCTCTGAATGAACTGGTTTTAAAGCAACCTTAATTCAGTACTTGGGGGCTTGGGATGAAAGTCTTATATTAGACTTCAGTCAACAGTACTGATCTTGGGAGGTTGGACACACACGTTCTGAGAGATGAGCTGGCTCTAGGAACCTCTACAGCCTGGTACTCAAATTTACACTAGCCGCTCTTTGAATGTAATAGTCTTAAAATACTCTCTGCAACTGTACTATGTCCTTAAGCACAAAAAAAGTTTTCTTTTAAAAAAAATTTCTACTACCATTATTTGACTGCTTTCACCTGTAGAAAAACAATGCTTGCAGAGATAGAGCTTGGACAACTTTTGTGTGCTATATTTAAAAATACAGGTATCACCAGAAAAATAACCTTGTTTGAAATAACCATATTGTTTATCTTTTTTTAAACACAGCAGTCTGAAGCAATACCACTATTTCTTTGCCCTTTCTTGTACTGTTGACAAGATAAAACTTTTAAAAAGCTTTCTCGCAGTAATTTGGCTGTAAAGACAAAATGTTTTGGGCTTTTTTCCACAACCACACACTCCATTCTTCCAAGCTGAACAGGAAATATGCAGGCAGATTGGCACTGTATTCAAAGCATAAATTTATTGAACAACATAACTGACCAGCTGAATGACATGTTTTCCCAAACTGTAAGATGCAGATTGCTGTTACGCACAATTTTGCCATACTCTATGTTTCATTCACAAGACTTGGCCAACAATTAATTTCTGAAATTAATAATACCATCTTTCTGGATACTCCACCACCATTTTTGGAGAGCATACTTCAGCTTTATCCCTTTTCTCAAAGTGTTTTCTTCCCTTGGCTATCTTTCTTCAGTGTCCCAACACAAAAGCAACTGTATGATTACAGAAGAAATGTTGAGAATAGCTTTAAAAATTCTCATTAGCAGAAAAAGTTTAGATTCCATGTATAAAACAGGAAGATGAGCAAAAAGAAGACAAAAAAACCACCCACTTTCAAGAATGCATTTCAATGTATTAAACTGGACTCAAACAGACCAGCTTTTTTCAGAGGAATATAATTTTGTATTATTTTACACAGTGACACAAATATTTGTATAAGGTAGTAGTTATCACACTTAAATTATGCAAGTATCAGTGTATACACAGGTATGGAAACTTAGTCTGAGCATCCCCAGGAAAATATCAGAAGAGACATTTTATTGAGACCTTGCGTAAGGCACAGCTCATGATATGGCCATGATTTCTGTACCTTTAGTAGTGGTGTCCTGAGCTGAGAAAGAAACAGATGGCAATTCACATTGTACTGGGTTCAGCTTCTCATCCTACATCTATGGAAGAGCTGCCATCTTTTTGACCCCTGTTACTGGTCCTCACAATGCCAGAATCACCAGCAGCGTTATGTATTATAAGCTCTCTTCAGAGCTTCACTGGAACAGCAGCCCAGAGTGCCCCAGCAAGCCTGGTATGAGGCCAGCTGAGTTCCCAGTGTTCAACTGGTCAGACTTCCTACCTTACCTTTGTCAGGAGCTATTCTGCCCAAGAGCAATCAGCGTTATCCATAAAGCTGAGCTTGTGCTTGCACTCTTAGCCAATGACAGTTAAGATCAGTCTTGCTTTCATCTCTAAAGAGATGAAAAGTTTCTATCAGCAATTATAAATCTGAAGTTTCACTATCTAGCTTTGCCTCACAGAAGTAAACAATCATTAACCTTACAGCTACAGACATAGCTATTACCTGATATGCTGACAGAACGACCAAGACTTCAGTAGCTACATCAGCGCAACAATGTATTTTAGAAAAGACTTCTCCAGCTGAAGAGATTTGATATTCACACTCAGGTAACTGTTTTCACTTCTGGAGTAACTGAATGGGAATCTGCTTCAACCAGCTGCCCATAAATATTGGAGTCCTTCAGGCTGTAAGCATTGAATTGCAAGCTTAAGTAGTAGAATTGAGTTACTTTACCAGTCAGACCTCTGTTAAGTTTATTGTTTTTAAAAAGACAGCAACAAGATATTTGCAGGTACTTCTACTGTCTTTCCATGCTATTAGAAATCCTGCTAAGCACAAAAGTATGGTGTAAACGTTAACCCCTTGCTTTCTGGTGTTTTGTTTTTTTAATTTTTTTTTTCTTTTCTCTTCTTTAAAGCCTAAATTCATGAACTTTATTGGCACAGCCTGTAACCAAGGGTTCTCTGTCCATCCTGAAGACATCTCAGTACAATACACAGAATACTTGCTTTGTTTGGTGCTGGATGCATTTAAATTAATTATCAACAACAGTGGCACTTTTGTGGGGAAGGAAAGGGTCACAACACTGTATGACCAGCTTATAAACGATCATCTCAGCAACATGCTATTGCAGCTGCAAGTAGATCCCCAAAACAACACATAGCAAGCAAGAACAAACTGGAACCAATACAGGCAACTAAGCAATATGTAAGGCTGCCTGCCTTTAATGTTCAAATAGTAAATTTAAATATGGTGTACCTTAGCTCTAGGTTCACCTGGGCAGAGAGAGAGAAAAGACAGACTTGACAACACTTCAGTGGGATTTAGTTGAATTTTACTTTCAAAAGTGCTCAGCTTCAGTGTCAGGAGTAAAAATGCCCAAAATATGCAGAGTTTTGAATTGTGTTAGGAAGGAAGAACTACCTCTTTCACATAGAAAG